ACAGGAAACCAACCCACAAAACTTAATTTGGAGCAGCGTATACATGAAAGGGAAATACATATCAGATGTCTCTTGACACCACATCTTTATCACAGACTAGATACGTTTTTGTACAACTTGTTATTTGACTGTCCACTCCAATTTCATGTCAAAACTATTCTAATAGATACTGTGAAATAGCAACGAAATGTGATCATGGCATTTTGTATTTTGTCTATAGATCAGCACATATTTTGTCATGCAAAACTAGATACAGTCTAGTCCAGTCTAATTCCTGGGCCTCACCAGAAATCAATAAATAAAGACACCATCAGCATTAAACTGCATAAAGTGTTCAGTTGTCTAAGTGCATTTTTTTTAAAGTGGGAAATGAAGATGAAGGTTCAGATTCAGAATTGAAATGATTAGAACTGCAGAACATGTAAAATATATATAGGATGCATGCTATTTTATATAGCTTTTCTCCGAGCTCTACGCAGTTTTGAATGGAAAATGCTCTGGACAATGATATTCTTGGTATTCTTTGATCTGATCTTCAGAATTAGATTTAAAATGAGGCAGAACCCCAAGCTCCACAGCAGAGAGATCGTGCTGAGCATCAGGAGACACATCAGACAGCTATATATTCAGGTGAAAGATTTACTATAAAACAGCCGTGATGTCTGTAACAGTGGGACAAAGAAAAAGACAGATACTGTGGAAGTAAAGCGCATTAAATTTCCAATGAGTAAAATTTTTAAAATCTACTTTTAAATTTTTAGCCATAATCAACTGAGCTCAAAGTGTTTGAAGTTTGAATGTTGGGATTTTCACCTTTTTGGTTGCAAAAATGCTTCCTCAGTTCAGTTCAATTCAGTTCAATTTAGTTTTATTTATATAACAGCAGATTACATTTTAAGTCATCTCATAGCTCTTCTTGTAGAAAACTGAATATTTTACAGTGTTATAACAGAAAAAAAAGCCAATGAATCCAAAGACTCTTTTTGATGACCACATAGGTTTATGTCTTTTACAGTCAAACTGATAGATGACAGACTGAAGCTCATGACTCAAAACCAAATTCCTGCTTAAACTAGTTTACAAGAAACAGCATCTGCAAAAAATACGTTAACAGTTTTTGTAATTCTATTAATGTTTGAAATTTTACAGCTATTTACAAAGTTATTGTGGTTAGTTAAATCACCATATTTTGTTCAGATTAGGGGAGGATGTTCTTTTTCAGGTTAGAGCAACAGCTCATCAAAATGTCTGTACACACCCCCTGGGTTTGACATTTCCTCTGACAGGAAACCTGTAAAAGTCAAGAGCAGCAAAGTGATACGCAGAAGTTCACCATTGCTGACATCCTGTTTCTGTCCCCCACGATGCCGACTTCGCTGCTTCTGCTTCTCTGTCTGATCGGACATGTTTTTGCCATACAACCTCCAGGTGAGAGCATCTGAGGACGATCTATTTAATTTTTGGAAATTCTATGTAATTTTGGTATTAAAATTGAACAGTTTTATTACATTTGGATGTTTCTGAACACTAATTCACTTTGGTTCGGGGCTGTTGGCAGATCTAATCTTATTGTTTCATATTAGGCTCTCATTACTTGAAGTCGCTATGTACAATATTAGAGAATATTCCTGAATTATCAAAAAAAAACCTTACAATGTTAATGATGTATGAGTGATTTTAACTACATATTTCACAAGTTTCTTAAAAAGGAAAGAAGGTTAGAAAGAGTTGGGGGGCAAAACTACATTAATATAAGCTCAAAACTTAATATTGTAGGTAATCACGATTTTATTAAATCAAAATAAATCAAATTTGTTTAAGGTAGAGCCCTATTTCCTTGGTTATGAACATTTCGTGTAAATTTCCCTAAACGTCATGGTGCCGCCACTTCCTTGTATGAGTGCGTTTGTCTGTGTGTGTGTGTGTGTGTGTGTGTGTGTGTGTGTTGGGGGGGTGAATACACTGCTATCAGTTTCTTGCTGTTTGTGTAGGTCCATTGTGCGTTATTAAGTTTGGGATCTTAATCCAATTCCCTTTTGTCAGATTCACCAATAATCCATCACAGTCCACTAGCTGCCCATTTTGTGTGTGCATTTAAAAAAAATGCAGGAAACGAACAAAAGTGCTCAAACTAATCAACAAAGAGCTCTTCTAATGTCTCTTTTGCACGTTTGTGGACGGAAGAATGACTGACACCTGCGTCTCCAGGATGGATGGCTATGTTGGGAATTAGAGTCAGGTCGTTGTCAAACTCTTGTACTATAAGCTGGCAGCCCTGTGCCAGACGTGAAGGGAAAAGGTTGTTGGGAAGTTTCAAGGGAGGATAGATGAGTTGCTTTATCACATGCTGTAGGAGTTTGTCAGATGTCGTCAGTGAGGTGGCATGTGAAGATTTTCTCTCACTGCTCTCTGAAGACAAACGGCCATCTAGTCAGAGATTTCATGTGGAGGGATGTTGCCGGAGGATCTGCCGGCAGTGTGGGAGCGCACCAATCTTTTCCGGATGCAGCAGCTTCTCTGGACTCTCGCCTGCTTTGAACAGCAGCGCTGGAGAGAGTGAAGGTTGAAGAGGGAGTAATTATATGTTGGTCTTCCCTGAGAAGAGCCTCCCTGGTTGTAGCTGGGATCGGATGAGGACAGTGATGGGGCTGGAGAATGGAAAGAGGAATTCTAATTAAAGTTGTTTCTTCGTGAAGAGTGACGTAGTTAATAGTCTTTATGGAGCCATCAACCTGATCTCCTTGTCTCCGGGGCCTTGTTGTGAATGTGACTAATTGGCGTGGAAGAGACCTGGAGCCGGGTTGGACATTCCCTCATGGAGGGCTAATGAATGAGCGATCCGTGGTAAGTTAGGGTTTTCTAAGAACTTGTAGACTGATAGCGTGACTGAGCGATGGCATGTGTTGCTCTGCGCCCGAGAAGCAAGAACAAACAAGTGGGAAGGGCAGAGTGGTATGTATAGACATATGACAAGAAGGGGAGTGGTTGAGGTGTAGTCCTGCTCCTGAACCTCAGCTAAAGATTTTTTATCTCCATTTCATTTTCATCATAAACCTATCCTGTTGGTCTCTCTTGTGTTTCTGACAGATGTGGACTGTGTGGTGGTGCACCTGAAACATGTTCACTGTTCCTGGAATCAGAAGGGGACTCCAGAAGTCAACTACACCTTCTCCAGCTGGTTCGTAATACCAACAACAAAACTTCAACCATAAAACTGATTATGTCATGTCTATCAGAACTTATCAAACAGCTTAAGAGTAAAATGCTGTAAATGACTGAAAGGTAGAGATTAAAAAAATCCTTCCTAAAAGGTCTGTTCTGTTATGCAACACTGAGTTTGTTTGCAACCTATTGTGAGTGTGGTGCTAAAGCCTCCTCATGTGATTTATATGATGGAACTCACTTAAAAACAGTCAGCTTTGTTTTCAAGTTTAGTTTAGTTTTTGTGTGCTATTTAATCCATATTAGAGGCACCATAGAGGCTTGACAAATGAAATAAGCAATGTAAAAAAAAAAACTAAAAAAACAAGTAAAATGTAAAGAATTTATTATTGAACTCAGGGGCGATGTTGGGTCAATCCTTCCATCAGACTGGTTATTCCTGCTCTGTGCATGCATAGGATTCATCATGTTATCTCTTAAGAAGTGCTCTTTTAAGGTGCTTCAGCACTTGACTAGGAATAACTCATTTTTCACATAGGTACGTCATATAAGTTTTCTAAATACTGGACCTAAATATAACAAATTCTGGAGAAAATATCAAAAAGATAAGCTAATCTTGTCCTAAAGCTGTTAAAATCTGTATTTCTTTTAATGTTACCTTTTGGTTTTTTTTTTTAAAAATAGGACAATCAATCTTTCCCATGCAGATTACCTGATTGTTATGTGACTCATGTTTACAATTAACATGGCTGCTTACTTTGCTTTGTATGAATGACTAAATAGCTACTTCTATACAGGTTCCACAATGAAAAAGTAAGCACCTGCGCCACCTATCTGTCGGAGAACGGCATGAACACTGGATGCAATCAACCCTATGAAGAAACCAAAAGATTCCTCACATTTTACACCGAACTCGAACATGGCAATGACATTTTTCGGAAGACGCATGAGCTCGTAAAAAAAGGTATGCATATTTAGTGATGTAAAACCTAAAACTGAGCTATAATAATAAATCGAATGATAGAGGACAGACATTTCTACTCAATGGGAGAACCTACTGTAACCTAACATCTAGAATCTATTTTCCAACAAAGGTGAAACAATGCTTATTCCAACGGAAAAAAGGCTGTAAAATCTAAAAGTATGCTGGCATGTCTGCTCTGTTACCATCGCTATCCCCTTATTTATCACTGAATGTCTGTGTTGTCTCCAGTCAAGTTATATCCACCAAGCAACCTGACCGTGAAGAATGGATCTGACTTTAACCTGTGGTTTTACTGGAACCAGACTAGTTTCAAGTGTGTGGAGAGTGAAGTCCTCTACAAGATAAACGACAGGAAGGAGCAGGTAGGCTGTTTTTTAAAAAAAAAGAAAGAAAGAGATGTTTCAATCTCTTGTCCTTTCTCCTTTTTATTTTTTTTTTGTCTTTCCTTCGCATCTTTCTATCCTCTTATCGCTGTCTCATGTTCCAGCGTTCTATGGTCGGTGCTGCGATTCAGAGCTACTGCATCAACTTGCCATCCAGTACCTCCCGATATGAGCTGCGAGTGCGGAGCAGACTGGAGCACATCTGTGGACAGTCTTTATTCTGGAGCGACTGGAGTGAGCCTGTGGTCTGGGGATCCAACAATGGCACAGGTAAAATTATAAAATGTCTGTTGTGTAGAAAGTCTATATCTACTGAAAGACTGAGGTATTCACTGACTTCCAACAGACAACCTCTAGAAAGTGTAACACAAAAATTAACAACAACAAAAACAACATACAGTAAGGGTATAGACAGGCAACTTGCAAGGTTGCTAAAAGAATGGGTGATGGGTTACGTATCACTACGCTAAATATCAGCTAGAATACTTAAATGTGGGTAGAATTTTGCTAGATGTGTCTCATTACTTATTTTCTGTGTGCATATTTGAGAATAATGTCACGTTTTCACCAGTGTATGATTAAAACTCAGATGTGGCTCTAACTATGCTGTGTCTCTGCATATGCACAAAACATCAGAGGGAAAATACTACAGAACAATTACAATCTACATTCTTTTTTTTCCCACCTCCAAGCCACAACTCAGCGTTTGCCAATGTCGGTGTGGACACCAGTGCTGTACGGAGTGGGTGCCCTCACTCTCATCCTACTCGTCATAATGTTACTGCACCATGAAAGGTGGGTTGGCTTGTTTGTCTTTGTCATAGTTTTGGCCCTAGTTACACTTGTTCCTCGTGTGTCCTTGTGTTCTTCACCTGCAAACTTTTTGCCTTGCCTTTCCAGGTTGTGTTTTTTTTTTTTTTTTTTTTAAGCTTATGCCTCATTTGGTTCTTTGTACTTGTAGTTTGCACCCTGGGTTCTGCCTTAGCCTATGTTTTTTGCTTGCCTGTGCAGATTTTTTGTATCTTGCAGCAGTTTAAGTCATGAAAACTCGCTTTTTGTTTTTGCAACCTCCTTCCTGTATCCTGCATTTGGACCCACTTCTCCAAACTGCAACAATGTCACACATAAATGGCTTTAGTTGCAGTTGTAGTGTGCATGAGCAACGTTAACTTATTTTCTGCTTTTTTTTTTTTTTTTTGTTAGTGTCAGCATTAATTGCCGATTTACACTGTTTGCAATTGTCTGTAGCTAAGTATAAGATTTTTAAAAAATAAAAAAATTTACACTAGCAGTAAATGTAAGTGATGATGGAAGAAAATTTACTTCTTTATGCATTTTTACTCATTTGACATGTATAATGCATTACAAACTAGGGGATGCTAACTAACATTTACCTTACTCAATCGTAAGTAAACAAAAGTTAACACAGATGAGTTGTTGATATAATCAGCTGAGAGTGAAAATGTTTCTACCTCCCATTCAGGCTCAGAATCATCCTCATCCCCGTGGTTCCCAAGCCATCACTGATCTCTCAAGACATCGGTATAGCATCCAGGGCTCCGTGTCCACTCAAAACAATCTGCAGCTGAGTCTGGTGGGACTTTCATTGGTCAAATTGAATAGTTGTTGATACATTTCATTCAGAATCCCACAATGTCCAATTTAGCAAAGTGACAAAAACAAACCAAACGAAAACTCATTCTCTTGTCTTTCTCAAAGGGTTGGTTCCCCAAAGGCGTGAAAGAGAGTTTTAAAGCTAACTACAATGAGCGCGCCTGCCCTGTCCGCGAGTACTGCAACGTCTCCCAGTCCGACAGCGAGAGATCTGACAGCTCCACTTCTTCTGTCTCCACCGACCAAACTGTCTGAGCTGTCTTCTCCATCCGTTCTCCAAAAGAAACAGAAGAGAATCTATTGCTGTGTCATCTTCCACCTTTACAGTCGAACCTGAAGAGGAGCAGCAAGGTTCTGTTTTGGAGGCATCTGAATCAGTGTTTTAATCCGCTGTTTTGAGGCACCAGCATGGACTCTCATGGCCAGTTGCTTTTGTTACACTAGTTCAAGTTTTTATAGTAGAACAATGAAAACTTGTTTCAGCATAAAAAGAAACAAAAAAGAGCATCCGATATGAGAGGAATATGTTTCACACGTCTAAGCTTCATCACTGCCTCAGTTTAGCTGAAAATCTGGATTTCTGAAGAGTGTTCCCTTCAACTGCATGCTGCTTTACAGTTGTGCTGACTTACTTTTGACATATTTACTTATCAGAGGCAAATATGTGAATATATTATACATTAAGGTAAAGTTTAGTGTTTGGACTTAAGTGTGCATGAAGAAAATCGCATCCTAAAAAGTGACATTGACGTGAAACCCATGTTCGACACAGGGAATGTAAACATTGTTGAAGAAAGCTTATGTTTCACATTGAAAATCTGTATCAGCAAAAGGACTTAATTCTCTAGAATGGTATGAAGCAATAGTGAAAAAAAAAAAGCTGACTTCCTATATTTCAGTTTCAGTTGGGCATTTTTTCTGTATCTGTCACTATAACAAGTTACACTTTTCCCTACATGGATCTTGGTGATATACTAATGATTTGTATAGATATACTTAACATTTTTTTTTTATTGAAAATCTATCTCACCTTTTTAAAAACATGTGATCAGCTTTGGCACTGAAAATATGATCTTGACTCTCTTGTGTTTGATTACTTCATGCAAACAGTTCAGCATGAAAATACATTTCAATGTAGTTTTGGAGAACATGACTCTCTTAAAAGTGTTTTTGTGTTTGTTTTTTGTTTTGGAACATTTAAAATAAGTTAATAAGTTACTAATTGTTCACTTTAAACTGGCCGTTGGTTTCATGTATAGATGAATGAAGGCAGAAAATAACATCCCAGTATTTTTAACGCAAATATCTTATTCGTAAAGTGACAATATGGTTATTGATCTTCATACAGTATTTAAGAGTCACTGTTAACTCACTGATGTAATCATGTTGGTTGCAGTATTTCTATGTAGAGTTTGTAACTTATAAACTCTTGGATTTATTCAATAAATACTTTGCTCGTGGCTTTAAAAAATCATGATTGTTTTTTTTTAAAACAAACAAACAAAAACACTTAAAAGCACATAAAACAGGCTGCTGCTATAGCCCAACTGGTTGAGCTGGTGACCCATGTACAGGGGCTATAGCCCCCGACGCAGCGGTCATGGGTTCAAATCCAGCCCATGGCCACTTGCTGCAGGTCTTGCCCACATTCTTCTCCCCACTTTCCTGTCTCACTCTCTACTGTCCTGTCAAATAAAGGCAAAAAGGCCCCAAAAAAACACATAAAACAATGCTGTATTTGTACCACTGAGGTTGCCAAGTCTATAAATCCCTTTGGCTTGTGGTGTTCATCCCCCTCTAACATCACACTGTTATCTAACAAGAAGTGACTTACAGGGCATCTGGACCGAATTCTATTTTGAACAGTTCATGAACATGTGTAAGTGAAAACTTGATGGATTATTAGAAAGCAAGAACCCCATTAGCATCTATTAATGAATTATTTAATAACCGAAATATTACGAAATAGAGGATAAATACCAGCCAGCGTTAATGGCAACATTAAGGGCTTCCAATTGACCCAAGAGGACTCCTGAATAATTCATTTTGTATGATTAAGTTACTGATTTCCCCATTAGAAAGTGACACCACAGTGCGACAATACTCTGATGAAATAGTATCATGTAATAATATCAACAATATTATAAACTAAACGATAAACTGTGATGGGTATTTCTTAGTGTTTTCTGATGCTTTATAGAGAACATCAATTGGGAAAATATTCTGCAGCTTAACTAAGAAAAATGATGGTCTAGTTGTATGCTATGACCTGCCACCAAACCAAATAACTTCAATAAAAAAATCAAAAACATGTAAAGAACCACATAATGAATGTGAAGAAGAACCATCCACAAAATAAAGAGGTTCTTCAACTGACGTTCAATTCCTGATGAACTATTATTTGTCTTCTATTAACGAGCTTGTCTAGTCCCTGCTGTATTTCGATCTTCTGTTTTTTGAAAAATAACTATACGTCCTTTCCCATCAAAAAAGTCTCATGACTCCAACGACTGATGCCAGGACAACCAGGGCCGGTGTGTCCCGTCCAGTTTCCCCGGCGTCCGTTAGAGGGAGTGCGGAGTCAGTGTCCCGCACAGTACGGAACTGAGTCAACGCATTTTTCAGATTCAAGAAGGGCAGGGCGCAGGGCGGCTGGCCCCCGCAAGAAGAGAGCGACTCAAGTCAGCTACTTCCCCCAGCTGAACCGATAGGCTATCGCAATCAATTCAGATGAGATTTAACACTTCCCTGTGTATTTAGCTGGTTTGACGCTCATTCTCCGTCGGTCGTCCAAAAATTAACAGCCCGAGAAAATGTCAGATCCTGTGGTGGCCGACACTCGCCGGTTGAATTCCAAGCCCCAGGACCTGACGGATGCTTACGGCCCCCCCAGCAATTTTCTGGAAATAGATGTTTATGATCCACAAATAATCGGAGTCGGACGGGGCCGTTACACAACTTACGAAGTTCGCATGAGGGTAGGTGTCGAGCCGCGAAACACCTTGTTGCAGCATTAGCCTTTATTCGCTAAGCTAACCTGGTAATTACAGTGTTGTTGCTAGCTAGTTAGCATGTTTAGCCGCTTGGCTTCGGTCAACACAGGTGACGGGGGGGCTGTGACGTTGACGTTAGCCGCGCGGAGTCGCTGAAGATGGAGTGCGAGTAAAAATCGAGGACCGGGGATTGTCAGCGGCCTAGCTTGTGGTGGTTTTGTTGGTGTAGGTAGCGAGGCTGGAATGTAGAAGTTTGGTGAACGTACAGGGTTTAAAGTAGGTTTACAAATGTGAGCCATTTCACTGGTGTAGCTGTAGTTAAATGCTAAGTAGTTAGCCAGTTAAAAGCAGTGAATGAAGCATACAGCTTGTTGGGAAATGTGGGAGCTCCAGGAGGACACCGTGAAGCTAACTGCTAACGCTAGTAGCACTTAACTGTACTGTCAACAAAATGAGGACTAATTTAACATTACCTGCCACCGACTACATATATTGCTAACAGTATAAAACACTACCAACGTTACTAGCTAATATCTTTAAGTTAAATATGCGAGGGGAATAACGCTACACCTTGATATCAGAGGAAAAGGTTGCGTAGCTAAATGAGGAATGCTAACAATGTCGTGGGGGTTTATGGAAACGGGAGAAATGGCTTATAGTAAAGTTGGGCTTATTTAAATTAGACATAAAAAGAGAACAAGTAATGTGAGTAGTAGCTGAAGTAGCAACGGTAGTAAGTTTAACTTCCTCGTCCAGTTGGTCGGCAGTTAATCTTGTAAGAGTGTGAGACAGAAAATCACTAACACAGCTAATTTTAAAGAACAGTTTCAGGAAGCTGATGCTGACACAGGACAGACACGGTAATTGCGTAATTGCAGCTTACCAGGCCTGTCTTGCCTACAAATCCTCATTTTGTGGTGCAGCTGTCTCCCTTGGAGAGTTTGCCTAACACAATGTAAACAAGCTACTGTGTTCACCACTATCATGTTTTTATTCAGCACAACTGACATGGCCTCATTACATGGTGGGCTAACTTTGATTGAGGGGTGGGTTTATTGCTTTAGGTGAATACAGTGAGAGACGAACCCAAACAAATCTATATGAGCCTAGTTAACAGATGCCAGCCTTAACTGGAAAGCTTCGTGATTCGTTAGTTCCCACTCGCTGTTTCAGCAGTGAATCAGTGGAAGTCCTTGGAAAGTCGTGCGAAAGGGGTCATGCAGAGGAGACAGTTATATGAATGAATCACTTAGATACATTGGTGTTGTTTGAAACCACAATCTGCATTTTTAATCAAACAACAAACGCTTCTATTGTCAGCGATACAAGAATCTTTTCTTGTATTTGAAATAAGCATGACACAATTAAACTACAAGACTGACTGACAAGATAAATTCAGTGTTAAAACAATTCATTCAATGAATTGTCAGTAAATGAATTCAAAACTTTTAATAATAGAGAAATCATTTAAATCACCAATACAGTCAAGTAAAGCAACCCCTCCTTTACTGTGAGGATTTGCTTCACTCATCTGTCACTGTAAGATTGAATATGCAATCTGAAGATCACATATAGGCCTCTGCAAATGTGCATTTGTTTTCCCTGTTTGAAGGCATTCTGTAAACTAAAACATTTCATTGCTGCCAATAATTATTAACACTGAAAATGATAAGTTTTGCAGCACCACATACAGTTGCAGTGGTGAGCATGGGAGCCTACTCAATGCTGATCTCTCCACTATCAGCACTCTGTCAAAATAAAAGAGAAAAGTGACAGGAGCGCTTCTGGTGTGCCTCAAACCACCAGCGCTCATGGAAGGGAACAATAAATGAGGAGGGAGAAGGAATTACAGCCAATAAAATGGCATAAGACATCCAGGCTCAAGCACTCAGGGTAGGTTTGCAAAGTAAAAGGCATTTATTTCAGGAAGCTAGCAACATCTTTAATGTGAAAAGAAGGAGTATGATTTTTTATTTTGGTTGTAATTCTTCCACCTTCCTCACTCAGTCAAAATAGTTGCCATTTGTTCAGCAAGAGCTGTCTTCTTCTTTTCTTTTTTTTCTTTTTTAGCTTTTTTGCAAGCTATTGAATTAAATATAAACAAAGGTTGTTTTTTTCCCTCCCTTCTTTATCTAGACAAACCTTCCCATTTTCAAATTGAAGGATTCCTGTGTGCGGAGAAGATACAGTGACTTTGAGTGGTTAAAGAATGAGCTGGAAAGAGACAGTAAGGTGAGTGAACAGTAATAATTAATGCAGACTGGCCGGTACAAACAGTGACGAGTGTTACAGGTGGAAAAATATGATCCCATTCAAGATGTAAAATAAGGAGTAGGGTTATTCTCTAATTATTCTGTGGTAATGCGTATTCTATGCTGGCATAGCAAATGAAAACATACGTTTTGTGGCATCGTCTAATTCACTGTGTTGAGTTGTATTGTTTGTTTACATGAATTGCCATTCTAATGAAGTGTATGCCGTAAGTTTAAATATGCTGTCTGCAGTTTAGACTTTATAGCTCAGTAAGTGTGGACTTTCTGTGATTTGTTTTGACCCCTGCCACCTTAGATTGTAGTACCACCTCTGCCAGGCAAAGCCCTGAAGAGACAGTTGCCATTCCGTGGGGATGAGGGCCTTTTTGAGGAGTCTTTCATTGAGGAGCGGCGATCGGGCCTGGAGCAGTTCATCAACAGGTAAGCTTGCTCATCATTCCAAAATTAAAATATATTCTAGAAATAGGGATTGTACTGAGTTGCCCGCAAAGGAGCTATGAGACTCATTTGTGTATTTCGGATAAATCTGGTAAAACTCGCATCAAAGCTGTCACTGACTTCTCGAGCCACGAAATGTGTTGGTCTAAACAGAAACTCACATATTTACTAGAGTTAGACATTGCCAAAACCACGGAGCTCTTTAGAAGGCTTTGTCTAATCTGTGTCTGGAAAAGGAGCCCCAACTAACTAATCCACAATTGAATTTTAGCAGCCTCTACGGAGAGCATTAAAAACGACCAGGGACTGAATGTTGTCTGTCTGTCTGTGTGTGTGTGTGTGTTTCTGCAGAATTGCAGGTCACCCCTTGGCCCAGAACGAGCGCTGTCTTCACATGTTTCTGCAAGAGGAAAGCATTGACCGTAACTACATTCCTGGAAAAGTACGACACTAGGGTTATTGAGGGAGGTGGGCAGGTGGGGGTTAAACTGTGGGGGTGTATAACAGCCTGCGTCTTGCCTTTCCCTTCCCTCAAGACTTCTTTCAATCTCTCTCTGACTTCCTGCTTTATTTGCCCCTTCCTCTCACTCTGTGTATAACATTACAAAGTCATACTCACTTTATCTTGGAGTATGAGACTATGTTCTTCTGCTATACTTGAGGACATATTGATAATGTTTCAGGCGATTCTGTGACTTCTCTCTCCTTTGTGCATTTGTTTTATAACTGTACAACGAGGAAAGCGCCCCTCAGTAGCTGTCATTGTATCATAAATATTTGGCTCTTAATCACAATATTCAGGAATCAAACATAATGTGCGATACAGTCAGACTTTCCTCCTATGAGTGTCATATATATATATATATTCGATTGTAATATAATGTGAATAAAGTAGAGTAATGTCTCAATGTGTGTTCTGGTGCTAATGTGTATCATTGACGCATGCAGACTGTAAATGAGAATTCTGATCCTGTTTTGTTCTCTTTGTGTTTTTTTTTTAGGTATGAATGAAGTAAGTTTGCTTTACTTTATCCTGTCTCTAAGAGCTTTCTGGAAGTTAAGGGTGCTTGCATGGGCACTGTGGAGACCAAAGGCGATAGTTCACAAATACTTAAGTAAACCAATGCTAATGCCATATGTAAATTATCACACAGATGTGACTGCAATCTATCACTTTAATATGTCACACATAGTCCCTGGTTGTTCCATTAAAGCAACCAGTTATTTCCCCAAAAATGTTGGAGTGATCATGGTATGGTGTAAATGGAAAAACGCTCTGCAAGCCAGTTTTATATATTTCCTAGCATGTAAATAAAAATGCATATTAATAAGCTGTTAATTGGCAATGAGCATACGAAAGTTAATCAGCTGTTCCTCTTAAACTGGCTTGCAGAAGTTTGTCAGTCCACCAGTATCAGGCCAGCGGAAAGACAAACCACCACAAGTATGTTGAGTTATGTGAACTATTGTTTAATAGGGAATAAGTACTGTAGCTAGACCTCCTTTGAAACATTTCTCTTCAAACTAATACTGACACATCGTCATTATCAACTGCACTAATCATCGGCTGCATGGCACACTTGCACGTTCTTTTTGCAATATATATATATGTGTCTGGTAAATTACTGTACATTCCTCTGATCACCATTGTGTCTGCTGATTCAGATCTTTATTTCCCTCAATGTTTTCTTATGTTGGATATATTGTACAGAAATGTCTGCGTCTGAAAAACAAAGCAGCCAATTCTACCATCATGTGATATATCCTGCAATTTTCTGTTCAAGTTACACGTTGCATCTGAGTCTCCCAGTGTAACATTAAACGTCAACATGTACAGTTCATTAGACTTTAAGTCTAATGAATTAAATTTGTTGAATTTAATGTCCATACATGTAGTAGCAATTCAATTCAAACATTGTTTTCTGCTCATTGCATATTGGTCACATGCAAGTCTTAAATATCATGGCGGAAAAAAAAAAAAAAAAGGTAACAATTTGTGTTGCATGATGCTTATTGCTGAAGTCTGCTACAACAGTTAGCTCAGTTTCGACACCATGTCATGAAAACTGCATGCAGTCCTGTGTCATGATGCATTGAACTGCCATCACAATTTCTTTTAGCTGCCTGCCTGATTGACAAAAGAAACAATTACGTTTCTGACCAGAAGGTGTCAATCTAAAGAGAGTACATTATGTCTTGGTCTTGAGCACTGCTTGCACCTCCTGATGCTAGTAAACAGAATATCCAGTTTATTTGACTTGCATAATATATTTTAAATCAGTGTACAACTAAAGTGGATAATTTGAAGACTGCACCGGTGCAACAGTGCTCATTCAAGAAGTTGCCACCTCTACAACAACAAAAAATGCATGGAAACGATAAGGAAATACAAAGTTTAGCAGTAAAAATTGGGGGGAAAAAAACCCCCAATAAAGCAAGGGCACTGTTGTACTGTATGGACCCACACTCGTTTGCTCATCTTGTGATATTTTCTGTGAATAATTTCATTCGTCAGTGTGGTTCACTGAGTTCTGTTTCAAGAGACTCATTCAAAGAAGCACTTACTGAACTCACTTGCAGCTTGGACATGTTTGTGTATTGTTTCTCATGACGTTCTCCCTCTCTTTTCTGTCTCTCTCTTGTTGTAAAGACAGTACAGACTGCTGCACCTGCCCCATGTACATTTATTTCTACATCACATCATTATAAAGCTGATGGGAATGTCAGAACTGATAAGTATCAACGGTGTAGGAAAAACACAGCTATTGCTCCTGGACAAAACTTAAGAGATCCAATGTATAAATTGTTTGATGTCTCCATTCAGTCATTCCACATACTGTTTGTACATTATTTCGATTCAGTAATCCGTGAAAAAGACGGATTAGCCATTTTATCATAGATTCTTTTTTTTTTACAGTGATTATTATGTTTTCTGAATGTCTTTTTAATTGATTTGATCAGTTTAAAAAAAAAAAAAAAAACTAAGAAAAGAGCAATTTCCTGCTTTGATTGGTGTTTTCTTTTGCAAGCGAAGATGTGATTTTGATGACAACCTCCCAAAGTCGAGCAACATGTAGCAACATGAAAAAGACAGTGACACGTCATTCCAGTCAGCATATTTCCCCCTGAGTTTTAAGCTCTTATACAGGATTGTTTCACGATTACTTGTTTTAACTCTTCTGTCTTAGTTACATCATCATGCCTACATTTTGGCTGTGTGTGTTGTCAAATCAGCTTTTGGGAATGTTAAGTTAGGCAAATAACCATATCTAAGCACTGTGACAAAAGGTTCATTATATGAACAATATTTCATTGTCTAAAGGCATAATCAGCATCTGGTTTATTGATCTCTAAAACGAGGCTTATTTTGTGCTTCTTTTCGGCTGTTTTATTCTTTCTATCAATATTATTGTGAAGTGTATTAATACATGCTATCATTGCAGTTCCACTATGGGTGACGAGGAACTTCCTTGTTAATTCTGTCCACCAATTAAATTTCCTGCTGCCTGCTGTGTCATGTCTCTTTTCAGTTTTGGAGAGAAGAAACAAAACTAAAACTCACCTTTCAGGTTGTGATTAGCGCGCCATGCCGAGAGGCAGTGAGGCGGATCAGAGGTTGGATGACTGGCTGCAGAATGGCACATGACCTAGTTAACCAATGAAATGGAAAAACAAGATAAGGAGGTTCAACGATCCTACTGCATTTTAGACTTTGTTTAAAACTATCTGCTCTGAAAGTTACTGGTGTAATCAGAGTGGTTTAACAATAAGTTTTACTTTCTAAGGAAAACAATAGATTTCACAGCAGATCAGTTGTACTTTACATACAGGAAAGTGCAGCTTTGAAAGTAATATTCACTCAAGTACTTCAATTAAATACATACTAAGGTACTTGTAAAATTCCATTTTGTCAAAGGTTATAATTCTACTTTCACAACATTTAAGATACTGTAGCTGCTTTTCACTCTGTAACATGAATTTGTCAGCTTTAGTTACTACTAACATTGAAGAATAAGATTTTACAAAGAAAAAATACGACCATTCCATAAAACGTGCTTAGTTAAAGACTACGGTATAAAGTTATTAAAACAAGTTCTACCTTGACCAACACACTAAACCACTTCTTGCATGCAGGATATGTAATGGTAGTAATCCAATAATATGTCTTAGTGGCTCATTATGCAATGTACATTCTTTTAATAATTCATGTCATTTAGGTACAGTTTAAAGACATTACATAAATGATTTCACTCAAGTAAAAGTTGAATTAAGCACTTTTATTTTAAACAGTAAATTAACTGTGATATTAATACTTTAACTTGCATAAGAGCTGTAGTACTTCTTCCAGCCACAGAGAAGTGATTCTTAAGAGCTGTTCTCTTCATGTAATGTTGTAAAGCCAAAACTGCTTGTCAATTATGTGATCAGTGAACAGAAAATTCATTAGCAGCAGTCAAGTTTTCAAGCACAAATGCCAAACCTTCTTTAATTTGTGATTTTTAGCTTTGTAATTAAATAGAAAACTAAATATCGTCACATCTTGGGCTGCTGGTGAGATCACCCACGTCTGTTCGGTGTCTCTATGGCCTTGTTTGGACAAAATCATTCATTTGTTCATTGAGAAAATAACTGCCAGTTGCAGGCCTTCCATAATGCAAGGAAGGCTAAAATACAACATAAACCCAGGATTAGGAGGGGGAAAAAACAGAGGTCACACTGTCCTACACCACAAAAACAAGAGAAATCAACACAGCCTTTCCTCTTTTGTAACACCACTTCCCACTGAAACTGATATTTCTGTGCAGTTCCTATTCATTATACGCCGCAAATTCCTGAAAGAAAATACAGTCTATGAAGAATGTAAACAGGTCAATAAGTAAAACAAAGCTGTCACAGTGGTTTAAATAGCATTACAATGTTTTGACCTGTGCAGCAAATGGAAGAAATACAGCTGAAATTGTGTCAGTTCAGTGGCAACAGTGCGCCTCTTTGTATTTCACTTAACATTTTAAAGTCCTCTAATCTTTTTCTTGCTGCCGTTGGTCTTCAGGAAACGCAGGGATTAACAAACGGGGAAAGGGAAATTCTGGCCACAGGTGGATTAAAGTTGTCCCAGAATAGTGATCTTGTGATGCAGACCTTGAACCACAGGTGATCCAAAGCAGGCATGACTGCAATTAGACACAACGGTGCTTTCCACGTGGATAGAAAACAAAATGATGAAGTGGTAGGTTCATGCAATGCACAGTGTGTGTTCCAGTGAAACCAGCAAATATAAAAAGTTTTCTTTTTTTCATACATTCACAAACTGTAAGTTACAGGCTATTTGCTGGTTTTACCATTTGTACTACATGCAAGACTGTTCAGACAGTTGAATCTGGAAATAAAATTGAAAAAAAAAAAAAAACAACTAGTGAAGCATCAGAACATGGATCAGACGGATGTAGAAGTGGAAGAATGTATTTGTCAACAACTTTTGGAGTTACAAATAAAATAGATAAAATGCTGCTATTTTACACATATACATGCACATCATTCACAAAGAAAAGTCTCTTCGTAAGATTAATGACATTGTTCAGTTATGTAGACTACAACCATGTTCATATGTCAAAAAAACAAAGTCTACTGAATAATGACATTAAAGAATGTGTGGGACCCCTGGGATACATACTCTGACCATGACCTCCCTCATCTGTGAGGACTGTGACCTATAATACTAGCATTGTGCTTTGATGTGTTGGCCTTGTCCCGAGTAATGAAAGTGTGCAGACAGGATGGACACAGAGGACCAGGGCAGAGATTAGGTGTTGTTTTCTTAGTCCTGGAGCCCAGAATGCAGCTATGAAGCCTGTTGTGTTTGCTGAGACAACCAGTTGGGTTAGCTTCATAAAGCGGAAGTAAATTGAAAGAGCAACCCAAAGCAGTGTGACTGGGCAAGGACAAAAGGTGGGACGAGTGGCTACTATAGAACCACCGGACAGAGAGCGACGGGTGGAGAGGGAGAAAATGCAATTTACAAAGACGTTCATTAAAGTTACCCCTGGCTACGGTCTGAGTTGTGATAAAAGGGACATTCAACCTTTACTTGGAACAGAACTAATAATAAAGAAAAAAAAGACAGAAACACAAACTTTAACAATAACCAACAACAATTTACCAGTTGAGAAAAACAGCACTGACTCCTAAATCACTCCTAAAATCAGCACTGAACTTAATTTCTCATTTTAGTTCTATCGTCTCTGCACAGTTTATACGGATACTGTACTATAATGACATTAAACAAAACACAGCAATATACAAATGGTATAAATTAAATAAGTAAAAAGTGTTCTTTTGCATGATTGGATTATTAACCAGGCAAAGTTTGTGCAGGTGTACAAGAAAGGGGTCCCAAAGACCCCTTTCTATTGTGTGTCAGTTTTTTTGAGAATTTGATTGATGTGATTGATTGATGACACATAATCTAAACTAAACTGATTTAGAACCTTAAGGCAGGTCCTGTTTAATTACAAGTCTACCTGAGTGATTGAGGAGCCGTGTCAATGTGTACATGGTCCATATTCCTGAAAATTACTGCTGCTAAAGACCTGCTGGAGAACCTGATGAAAGCAGGGACAAAAGAATCAGTAGGAGTCAGCCGATTACCAGCCTGAACGATTACCTGATCTGATATTCTGCATTTTTCCGCTATCATTTTATGTAACCGATTCCCAACTAGTTTCAAGCTACAGTACTGTGACTTTGATGCAGCCTTTCCTCCCTTTCTCCACTCTATCCTATCTAAAGCAATGCTCCGCCCACAGCACTATCTGATTGGTTGCTTGTCAAGGTAGTAGCCAATCCACACAAACACAGAAAAAATCTTTGAATAAAACATATGTGAACCATTAAAAAAAAATAAAAAATCAATGGAATTTCATTTGTATTTTTTGTTGAAATTTGTGCTATTTTTTTATTTTGACACCAAGTTTTTCATTGACTACAAATTCAGCTCCAAATATCAGTTATTGATCTCCTTGATTATTAATAAACAGTATCCACCCTAAAAAAAAAAAACAAAAACTGATAGCTCTGTAGAGTTCTGGGAGTCAGCTTTAAGGAGTGACTAAACTGGAACTGTCTGGACTCACCGGATCAGAGATATATCTGGTGTAATAAGGACAAAGTCTGCATGACAAGAAGAAGACGAGTCCGACAGTCAAGCATGGAGGGTGGTCCGTCCTGTTGGGGGGATGTTTTCCGCCTGCAGGAACTGGTCAACTTGACCGTGAGACCTGGATCCTTTGAACATACCAGGTCTATTTGAAGAACAGTGTTTGAAGCTTGGTAATCACTGGACAGTGATCTCAAGTATACATCCATGTTAGGGATCAGAGAAAGTCCAAATCAGGAATCCTTCCTGGAATGTCCTGGAGTGGCTTCTTCTTCACCACTAAAGATCTTTGGTGGAACTTAAAAAAGCAGTTGCAGCAAAGAAACCAAGGAATATCGGTGGGTCACGTGAGTAGAGCCAGGCTAAATTTCAAAGAGAGAGGTGTCAGCTTATGAGAAATGTATGGAAACATTCACTGGAGGTCATAAAGGTCAAGCCTTGTTAACATGTCCATATGGTGTTTATCATGTTCTCTGAAGATGCATCATAAGCGAAACAAGCAGGCAATGCCTTAGTGAAGCATTTCCACCTTGAAACCGCACTGTAATGAATGTGTCTCAAAAACACAGATTCAGAATTTTGAGGTTTCATATGTAACAAACCTAAGAAACCAATCCCATCAGCTTGAAGGGTGAGGCTTTTCATATCATTGTGCTTCTTCAGAATATGTTTCTTCTTTGAACACGTATGGCTAAATGACTCCAAAATTAAAACTCGCCATCGTGTAGCATAGAAGAGTAGTTTTACAGTGTTTGAGCAGAGTTGAGTTGCAGCGAGTGACGAAAGCTTGAGTCGCGTTAGAGGGTGAGACTTCATAGATCTGCACATTTTAAAGGAAGCAACGGTGCAGAGTTATACCGAAACTATTTCAAGGCAGGAAGGGATTATTTTCATGGAAAACAAACCTCTAACTGTGTCACTTTGATACAGAGTTTAGCTTCTAGGGGTTAAATTAGAAACCGGACAGGGACTTCAAATGCTGATTCCATTTTGGGTTCATGTTGCATCAGACTGCATTGTATTACACTAAAAAACACAAAGTTCCCTGTGAGAACAAATATGACAAGTCAGGTTATTCATCCGCTCCCCAATCACAGGTTTTTGAAGGGTTCTACCATTTGCACAGAATTGTGAGAAAATGAACTGAACATGCATCATTCTTCCAGGATGTGACAAAGAGGTAATACATGTATGACTATTAGAAAAATCTTTCTGATTTTCAACTTTTAGAAACAGAAACAAAATGAGGGACTTGCTGCCATTCTATAGCCTATTTATATATAAACAATACCTTGGGGGTACTTCAAAAAGTTGTCTGCCTCACCCAGAAACAAGGGGCTTCACTCCTATTTTGGGCCA